TAGAAAGGAAATGCCTCATTCGTCAACTCCCTCGACCGGAGACTTGGGGGACTCCTACCATATGCTACTACACCTTGATACTCGGAAGTCTCACGACCACTCAGTGACTTGGATTTTTCAAGTCTCCAAACCAGAAGTTTTCCTCACTCGGGAAAGTAAGGAAGCACTACCTCAACCTACATGCTTCACTCACAAAGCTTCAGCATACAAGCTTCAACAAAAGGAAAAATTCAAAAAACTTAGTGAAGAAGGCCTTATTGTATTTAACACAATACGTTGAAATGAAGTAAAGCTTGTTTATTGATATCTCCGATAAGTTACAAATATGTACATATACATGAATCAAAATAAACAAACAAGAGGGAGCCTTCACAAAGGTTGCTCAGGAGAAGTCTTAGCAGTCGGCAGAGCCCCAGATCGAGGAGGCACCAGAGGGTGATTATTTAGAGCCTCAGTACTAGGCAGAACCCCAGAAGGAGGAGGCACCGAAGGTTGATCATTTGGAGCTTCATTACGCGGTACATCCCCAGAAGACGAAGGCAATAAATGCCTTTGGAACAAACCCACAAACCTCTGATGATCAAGTAAAATCTGACCATCAGATTCCTGCAGCTGGTCGAGCTTCCTCTTCATGTTTGTAGCATAGTCATGTGCGAGCCTGTGCAACTGTTCATGCTTGAGCCCTCTGATCTCCTGTTTGAGACTTATCACTTCAGCTGCCAATGATTCAACTTGGCGGGTTCGAGCAAATAGGCGTTGGGCCATATTAGACACAGAACCTGCACATTGAACACTGAGAGCCAGATAATCCTTAACAGCCAACTCATCAAACCGTTTGGAAAGTAGTCTGTTATCTTTGGGAGTGAGAAGGTTCCTGGCCACCACCGTAGGGGTCATATCATTCTTCATCACAGAGTCCCCAACGGTAAAAGGACCAGTAGGGGATAAGAATGATGGGTGCCATATGTTGTCTTGAGAAGGTATGGTTGCCTCTTCATCAAAGTTCAAGTCAAAACGACGGTCGGATGGGCCAGACATTCTCAGAAATGAGGTGCAATAAATCTCTAAAGTAAGGGAAAAATTCCTACAAGCAATAACTCTCGGAATGTACTCCTTGCACAGAATTGGTGCCCTTATAAAAGAAAGGGCAACAGGGCTGTTGATTCAAAAATCGAAGTGGCACCACTCTCCGGATTCCGAAGAGGCACCACTTTCTGGATTTCGAAGAGGCACCACTTTCCACACGCAACATCAGCTTCTCGGGTACCACAGATAACTTTGCCAAAGATCTCTGACAAAGTTTAGACACATAAATTCTGAAGGTCCAGCTACCCTACTATTACCCACAAGGGTAAAGGAACAGCACCACTGCTTAATAACTAAAAAGTCTCAATATGTGTTAACCTCCGTGCTCCGTGGCAAGGCAGACTGGCAAAAATACCCAACATTTACTCACATTCGAGAAAACACTCCCAACAGGATTGCTTTCTCAAAAATCGAAGAGGCACCGTTCTCTGAATCTCGAGAGTCAGATCCCCGACAGGATTGCTTGTTCGAAAACCGAAGAGGCACCGCTCTCTGAACTTCGAGAGCCAGATTTCCTTGGATAAAGCTTGTATGCAATCTTCACACGCAACATCAGCTTTCCAAATACCACAGACCATTTTTTCAAAGCGCTCTGACAAAGTTAAAACATTTGAAGCTTGCAGCTCCTACTACATTACTATGACCAAGAAGGGTAAAGAAATAGCATTATTACTTGCTCAAAAATCGAAGAGGCACCACCCTCCGAATCTCGAGAGCCAGACTTCCAACAGGATTACTTTCTCAAAAATCGAAGAGGCACCGTTCTCCGAATCTCAAGAGCCAGACTCTCAACAGGATTACTTTCTCAAAAATCGAAGAGGCACCGCTCTCTGAATCTCAAGAGCCAGACTCCCAACAGGATTTCTTTCTCAAAAATCGAAGAGGCACTGTTTTCCGAATCTCGAGAGCCAGATTCCCGACAGGATTGCTTGTTAGAAAACCGAAGAGGCATTGCTCTCTGAACTTCGAGAGCTAGATTTCCTTGGATAAAGCTTGTCTGCAATCTTCACACGCAACATCAGCTTTCCAGATACCACATACCACTTTTTCAAAGGGCTCTGACAAAGTTAAAACACGTGAAGCTTGCAGCTCCCACTACATTGCTACGACCAATAAGGGTAAAAGAATAGCATTACTACTTGTTGTTAGGGAGACTTCTATATATGTCGACCTCCATCCTCCACAGACAGGCAGACTTGCAAAAATGCTCAACCCTTCCTCATATCTGAAAGGGCACTCCCAACGAAGCCTCTCGAAATACTCAACTTTCTTCCCCCCCCCAATAATACCTATGCAAACCAGCCATACCAGAGCAAGAGTATCTCATATTATCAGGGTTAAAAGTAAAAGTATCCCATATCATGCTTTTTCTCTGTCTTTTCCTTTGGCCTTGTTCTTACCTGCAAGACAAGGAGAAAAAGAGCAATCAGTCAGCACTTGGAATCAAGCTTCCAGTCAGGAACTGACTGCCTGAAACCCCTTGCCCGATTACTTACCTGGCATTGCTCTCGAGTACTCATCTTCAACATCTTATGCTTCTAGAGACGATACCACATATGCCTGAGGAACAGATAGGGCAAGTGAGAAGGATACAAGGAAGCATGTGGAGACAAGCGTAACAGAACACATGCCGATACATCCACTACTTTGTCTAAAGAAAAAGTATCCCATACCATCAGGGTCGAACATACTCTAGATTTGATGGACTTGTTTTGACCCTCAAATTCTTGAGTCAACCTTATACTCTGGTGGAAACCAGAAAACCCTCCAGCCCAGTTCAAGAATAAGCATGTGGAAAGTTACTTCTTCAAAAGAAAAAGTATCTCATATCATCTCTTCTCCATTTGCTCTCCTTATCCTTGTTGCTGTTTACGACACGAGGAGAAGGAGAACAATCAACCGGAGGCCGAAGTCGAACCTCCGATCCAGGTTGCTTGCTTGGAAGTCTGATTGCTTACCTTGTCTGTTACCTCTTTCGGCAAATCTCCTAGCTCGGCCACTTAGGGGACTCCTACTATAGGGTTTTGTATCGCACTTGACCAAGACCGAAACTACAAGTAAGCTTCAAGTGAAATTGATACATTACCTTGTGCATCTTCATCGGTTAAAGATACCACCCCTGGATGGAGGAAAAGTACTTCCAGAGAAGATGCCACATCTACGTATGAAACAGATAAGGCAAGTGAAAATGATACCAGACTTCGGTACTTAGAAGTTTTGTGATTACTCAATGGCTTGGATCTTGCAAGTCCCCAACCGAGGAGCTTCCCTCAGTCGGGAACTTAGGGGAGCACTGTTTGTACCATACTTGACCAATCCCGAAACTATTGAACACCGGTCAACGTTATACCATCAAGGACCTATAAGAGTTTCCCTCCAACCAGGAGGCCAATCACAGCGCGACACGTGTCGACATCAGAAGCCAATCATAGCGCGACACGTGTCAACATCAGAAGCCAATCACAACACGACACGTGTCAATGTCATAATGAAACTAGAAACTCTCTTCTATAAATAGAGATCATTCTCTCACAATATTTCTTAATGTCATTTGTACTAAATCATTCACTAGTACTCACTAAAAGAGAGCTTGAACCTATGTACTTGTGTAAACCCTTCACAATTAATGAGAACTCCTCTACTCCGTGGACGTAGCCAATCTGGATGAACCACGTACATCTTGTGTTTGCTTCCCTGTCCCTATCCATTTACATACTTATTCACACTAGTAGCCGGAGCAATCTGGCGAAGGTCACAAACTTAACATTTTCTGTTGTACCAAAGTCCTCATTGATTTTGTGCATCAACACATATCAATAAGATCATTTAGTCATTTAATTGTATAAAAACAAATAAACGGATTCTGTAAATGCATTACAAACCGTATATCTATTTGTTACGAAAACAACCTTAGCTTTAATTGATTTCTTGGAGAATTTGATATTTATAGAGCTATTAATAATATGAACAATTCCGATGATAAACAAAAGTTTTGTAAATCTACCACAGAGTATTTTGAGGATGAGGTCTTCGTCAACCATGAGTAGCTAAGCATTATTCTATTTAGAAACCCAATTCTCAAAGCTCACCCTCATTGTCGAAGAGACAATTAGAGGCCTGATTTGCTAAGCTTATTGACGATCAATGGTAGTTATAAGGTATTACTGACTAATGGTGGATCTAAAAATTTTTCATCATGGGGCTAATAAAAGACAGGTGTCTACTCGGGCCTCTTTGAGGAGAAAACCTCTTACTTAACTGAAATATGAATCGCTGCTATGACATTACAAAAATAAGTTACATAAAACGAAAATTGCTCCTCTTCGACTTCTGGAAATTAAACATATGAACTCAAAAAAATAGATTACGCCGTTCAACCTTCCACCCCAGTGAGGCCATGGTGGATAATCTTGCATGCAACCAAGGTTCACAGGCGATTCAAATGCTTGTCAACCACTCCCTATCACTTTGACTAAAACTTAAGAAATGAGGTAAATTACATAAAACTACATCAACTATAGGTTGAACCATAATTTCATACATCATGTTTTAAACATTACAATGTCATACCTTAACTTACGAATTCGTTGAAATGTCATATTTTCTATCAATTTGGTTGTTAAATTGTGACATGGCAAGAGCGGGACCCACCCAATTGCCAATTGGAATAAAGAAATGAATTAAATATTAATAAATTATTAATTTTTATTTAACCTAAGCAAAAACTCTCTCCTTCGATCTCTCCAGATCGCCGGTCGTTCCCCTTGGTCCTCCTTCACTCCCTCCTCCGTCCCCCTTCGTCCTCCCTCACTCCCTCCTCCGTCCCCCCTTCTTCCTCGTCCTCCTTAAACACAGCCAAATTTCCTTCACCAAAAACATGAAACAACACCATGTAACTTTCAAGACTTCAAAAATTGCAAAATTCATCAAAATTTTAGAGCACATTACATACAAACCCAGATCTGCCTTCAAAACCAATACATTCCATAACAAATCCACACCAAAAAAAAAACCAATAAATTCAATTACAAATCCACACCAAAAGCACAAGCCAGAAGCCAAAAAATTATAAAATTTCACAGAAATCCGTTCGGCGATGTGAGGAGAGAGAATTGCAGGCAATGTGTGCGAGGAGGAAGACTATGAGAGCTGTATCAATTTGATGAGGATCCGCCATTTTCAAGAGCATGATCTCGACTTTTACTCTGTCTCGGCACTCACCACCTGCCCTCCACGCCGTGCACTCATCGGCCTCTACTAGTCTCTCTCTACCATGGTCATCAACCACAGACCTTCCAAGCGCCCAGGGAGGAGGTCGATCTCCCCAATATTTTCGCCTTCCCTCCAAAACGGCACCGTGGAGCCCCAGCCATTCCTCAAGGTTCGTCAAACTGCTGAGCTCCGGCTCCATGCTTGAGGGAATGTTCGATCGAATAAATACTCGATCGGCGATATAGAGCTTGACGGCCTGGAAGGCGACTTTGAGTTGGTCACAGGGGATGGCCGCGCATTTCGGGTAAGCCGGCGGCAACTTTGGATTTTTTAAGAGGGAGGCGGTGGGAACACGAGGAGATATATATTGGAAGATGAGATAACGAGAGACGTTGGGTTTCGTCGGAGAAGAGAGAGACGTAATGATATTGCAATGTTTAAAACATGAGGTATGAAATTGTGGTGCAATCCATAGTTGAGATAGTTTAGTGTAATTTAAACTAAGAAATAGCAGCAATACCATACCATGTCCTTTGTTACCCTTTCTACACGCCCACATTCGAACATATAAGTTTCAAGCTTCAACGGTATACATATGATCTAGTGTTTTTCTTGCTTTTCTCAAGTCTTTCAACGTTAGGCCTGTGCACTACAACAATGTCTTGCATTTAGTTAGTGACCGCAGATCTGCAACTTACAAATAAACTCTGGAAAAGCCCGAACAACTAAAAATAGGTCGTCCCCTACGAAAACAAGAATATATGAGCGAAATAATGGTCCAACTGCAGAGATGAGACTGAATCGTACAAGTTGGCCAATAAATAAGTGAGTGCATGAATACAACAAAGGTTAGCATCATATGAATATTGGACCACGGAATCAATTCGTGCGTAATTGAAGGTTGACATTCAACGTAAAACACAGTTAAACTGTACAGAGGTCCATATGAGATAGGCATAGCTAATCCAAAACAGTAAACAGGTAAAATATGGAGTGCACATGTAAGTGCTAAACTCAGTAATACTGCACAGAATTTACCTGCTTTTATATAGTTCAATGCAACCTTTTATCCAATTTTTGCCTGTAAATTGCTAAACTCTGCATGCAAAAAGTGTAGCAAGCAGCAAATAAAACATCTAGTAATGATGACTTGAAAAGGAGAAAAATTGGACTGCTAAGATTAAGCAACAAAGGAGCAGATTCATAGAGAAAAACAGAAGGGAATATAAATATAAAAAAGTAATTTTCTCAAATTCATCACCGTCGTAGATTGACCCAAAAAGACCTGTTTTGACATCTAATATTGCTTCTTGTGCCAACCAAACACAGATCAGAGTATCAGAGACAATTTTATTTCAACTGAATTACTATCCTGATCTCCCAACAAGGGACAGGTACAAGATTCAAAAATAATGTGGGCTTAATTTTTTAAGCCAGTTTTCCACGGCGGAACCAGTTTTCCCTCTATGGGCTATATCCACTACCAAAATTAAAACTATACCCCAATAAAAGCCTAAGAGTAGATATTGACTGAAAAATCTCTAAATTAGAATTTAGAAACAAAATTATAAACCATATTACAAGAATACTAGTAGAAGACAAATTGGAGTATTATGAAGAATAAAACAAGCAATGCTGAAGAAGAAACAAGTTAATCATAGATATGAATTGGATTGGCTGGAACTCAACTAGCTTTGTTTCTAATTCTTAATACTAGGATGGGCTATAACCCACCTCAGACTTCCTGGATCTGTCCCAGACTCAAAAAAAAACCCATTTAGTTGATTGTTCCCTTTGTCTTGCTGAAATGCCTTCTGCAACCGATTTTTCCCCTCCTGCACACCCTCCATTTGTCTAGCCATTCGATTTAATAAATCAGAGGACTGAGGGCCAAAACTAGAAGCGACGTGCATAAAGTAATGAAGAGTGCATAAATCACTTCCCATACACTTAATGATGACAAATTCTGAAGGACATGTGTGACCTTTTACTGCCTTGGCTAAACAGTGTTGAGCCATGTTCAAATTATCATGACAAGACTAAAGTAATATATAAATTTAAAGCAACTTCGTGAAAGAGTAGACACGAAGACTATATGCCTCTTTTTTTTGGAACGAGCACAACTGAAATCGGCACAGTACAGTAGAGGAAGGAAACAGGTTGGGGACATGAGCATTGTGCGGCTCTAGGGGGAATTTTTTCATGAGAACAAAAGAACCCTACTAGGCACAACTCATTTAATATTATTAAAAGATAAAGAAAATCTAATAATCAAATTCAATTGGCCACAGCTTAAGTCAAGGACTATTACAACCAGAGCAAAAAGTAGTGTGAATTTTCAATTAATTTTAAGATTAATTTGCCTATAAAAGTTCAAATTTTGAATTGAAACCAGTGTTCATACTTTAACCCTTTCAAGTAAAGCTTAACCCTGGCTCTTTTGATAAAAGAGCTTTCAAAATATATAGCCTGAACAGTCTCCAAACCTCTGCTTACTTGGGATTGTTTGAATGAACCCACTACCCCACTTCCTCGAACGCCCCAAATAATTGAAATGAATTTGAAGGTATTAACACCGTTATAGCTTATAATGTAAGGATACACACAGCAAGCTAGGTTTCAGGATTGCAACAACTTATATGAGCAGAAAAATTAATACCTTAGTATAAGCATAAACACCAGGTTCTGTAGGTCCAACTGGGCTTCCTCTCCTCATAAACTCTCCCTCCTTAAAAATATAGAGCAGTGGTACTCCGGTTGATAACTCTAAGCTAATAACCTGTTTGACATGAAATACTGATAATTACTTTTACTAATATAAAATAAGGAAACCTAATGAAAAAGGCTTGAAAACTTTGAGTTTTAACGATAAGGACAAAACAAAGGGTAAAGTGAATAGTACCAGGATTGACTTTTTAGTGTAAAAAGTGAACAGTACCGGGAGCTTTTCGTTCAAGTTCCCTATAAAATATTCATAGGTGGTATGAAATTTTGGAAGTATGGTTTGTTACCTCTTGAGAAGTTAATCTCTCGAGATACATAATAATAGACCTCAATGAATTTCCGTGGGCAGCAACCAGAACGTTCTTTCCAGATTGTAGTTGTGGTTCAATCTGCAATGTAATTTTTTGTCCAGGTACTTACTATTAGGTAAAATATGATTTCATTTCATAAGAAATAATATTACACTTTGGGTGTTTATATACAAGTATATTGTAACCACTAGACAAGCAAAAAGTAACAATCTAACAGAAAACTTAACCACTAAGTAATATCTCTAGATAGTGTAGTTACAATATTATCCTTTATATCCCCCCTCAAACGAAACTGAGGAATCCGAAGCGTTTGTCACGGAGATACAGAAAACTGGACTTGGAAAGAGATTTAGTACAGATGTATGCCACCTGATCTTGAGCGCAGATGAAATGCACAGAAATCTGCTTGGCAAAAACTTTTTCTCGAAGTAGTGATAGTTGATTTCCACATGCTTTGTCCGAGCATGAAAAACTGGATTCTTAGCAAGTGATAGCAAGAGATATGAAAAACTGGATTCTTAGTAAGGAATATCCTATGTCAACCAACAATTGACAAATCCAGGTAATTTCAGAAGCAGTATTTGCAAGTGATCTGTATTCAGCCTCAGTGGAGGAGCGAGCTACCGTTGGTTGCTTCTTAGCACTCCAACTAATTAAAGAGTTGCCCAGAAAAACACAATAACCTCCAGTTGATCTTCGATCAAGGGCACAACCGGCCCAATCAGCATCAGAAAATGCAGTGAGAGTTGGAGGAGTAGAACACTTGGAGAACCATAAGCCAAGATTGATGGAACCCTTAAGATACCTGAGAATACGCTTAACAGCCTGAAAATGAGAAATGCGAGGGCTGTGCATGAATTAGCAGACAAAATTAACTGCAAAATTAAGATATGGTCGTGTCCAGGTAAGGTACTGGAGAGCACCAACTAAAGAACGATACTCAGTTACATTATCAAGTAGAGAAGACTCATGATCAAGTTTAGAAGTGCCAAGGGGTGTACTGCATGGTTTAGCGCCATATTTGCTTTGGATAGCAAATCCAATATGTACTTGGTCTGAGAGATAAAGATACCTGAAGAAGATCGTTTGACTTCAATGCCAAGAAAGTAATGTAGAGCTCCAAGATCTTTGATAGGAAATAAAGAACTGAGCTGTTGGATCACTTGTTTACATGCTCCAGCATTAGGACCAGTGACCAAAATGTCATCCACATAGATGAGAATGAAAACCAAATCGGGAGCCTTTTTAACGAACAGAGAATGATCACTGTGAGATCCTACAAATCCAAGAGAGTGAAAAGCCCCATGTAGCTTCTCATACCAAGCTCTCGGAGCTTGTTGTAAACCGTACAATGATTTGTGCAAGTGACACACATGAGAAGGCTTAGTAGAATCTTCAAAACCAGGAGATTGGTGCATGAACACTGATTCAGATAGGCTACCATGTAAAAAGGCATTACTAACATCAAGTTGGTTTAAGAACCAATCATACTGAGCTGCAAGAGTAAGGAGAAGCCGAATAGTTACTGGTTTGGCAACATGACTAAATGTTTCTGTATAGTCAAGACCTTCCTGTTGGTTGAAACCCTTTGCAACTAACCGAGCTTTATACCGGTCAACAGTACCATCAGGTTTTCTCTTAATACAAAACACCAATTTGCATCTGACAGCATTCTGTGAAGAAGATTGAGGAACAAGGGACCAAGTTCCAGTAGAGAGAAGTGCAGTGACTTCTTCCTGCATTGCTTTGCGCCAATGAGGATGCTTTGAAGCTTGAAGATTGGTTGTAGGTAGATAATCTACTGAAAGATGAGAAGGTAAGGGGTGTTTAGTGGCGGTGAGGGCTTTAGGCTTGAAAATTCCCGATTTGGACCTTGTTTGCTTTGAATGAGTGTTAATGGGTTGTTGAGGTTGGTGGTTATAGGTTCGGAGACTGCTACAGGAGGACTTGGAAGAGGCATGATGGAAGGAGCAGAGTGTAAGGAAGAAGGTGAAGGCGAAGTGGAAAGATGTATTGAGGAAGTGATAGGTGAAGTGATAGGTGAAGTGGTAGGGGAAGGATGAAAAGTAAAGGTTAAATTTGAAGGAATGGAGGATCCGGAGCTAGAAGGTGAATTTGTGGCAGGTGTGAGAGGCAATATATGATGAAAAGGAAAGCTGGATTCATTAAACAAAACATGTCTGGAAATGTACAGTCTTTGGGTGGCAATATCAAGACACTTGCACCCCTTGTGATTCAAGCTATAGCCAAGAATGACACAAGCCTTGCTTTTAGGATCCAACTTGGAGGATGTATAAGGCTTTAACCAAGGGAAACAAGCACAGCCAAATACCTTCAAAAACACATAATTGGGTGGACAATGAAACAATGATTCCCAAGGAGATGATCTAGAAATTGTAGGCAATCAATTGATGAGATAGATTGCAATGGTAAAGACCTCAACCCAGTAAATGTGAGGAACTTTAGAAGCTACCAAAAGGGTTCGAGCAGTCTCCACTAAATGGCGATGCTTGCGTTCTACACACCCATTCTGTTCGGGGGTGTGTGGACAGGTAAGTTGGTGCTGAATGCCATGTTGAGCCAAGAAAGTTGAGAAAGAGGTACTCAAGAATTCTCCACCAGAGTCAGACCTTAAGGCAATAATCTTTGTGCACAAAGCATTTTCAACCATAGATTTGTATTGAATAAAATTGGACAGTACATCAGACTTGTTTTTCAAGGGATAGAACCAACAATATCTTGTATAGTCATCCACAAAAATGACATAATGCTTGAAACCTTGATAAGATGTGACGGGTGAGGGGCCCCAAACATCAGTATGAATGAGTTCTAAAGGTTTGCTAGTTGTAGAAATAGTAGATACAAAAGGAAGCCGAGAGCATTTGCCTAACGCACAATCTGAGCAGAAAAACTTAGCAGCATTAGGTAAAACTGAAATACAAGATTGAGAGACTAGTTTATTGATAATCTTCACAGAAGGGTGACCCAATCTGTTGTGCCAGAGATCTCTTGAGGCTGTCACAGAGGCAATAAGAGCTTTAGGAGAACCAGTTGTTGAGGAGGAGAATGGAAATGGATAGAAACCATGCTGAACAAGTCCTTTAAAACACATCCTCCTCGAAGAAAGATCCTTCACAATGAAGTAGGATGGATAAAGATGCAATGAACAATGATTGTCAATCAGAAACTGATTTGCAGATAAAAGATTGTGTTTTAAAGCAAGAACATATAAGACTTTATTCATATGAAACACACTATTGGGAGTATGCAAAATAGTAGAACCAGAGTGAGTGATGGGCAAACCTTTGCCATCACCAATGTACACTTGTTCAGGACCTATATAAGCTTCAAGGTTTTGCAGAGTAGCATAAGAATTGGTCATGTGTGAAGTGGCTCCGGAGTCCACAATCCAAGTAGGAGTGGAGGATGATGTGTTTGCCAGCATTAGTGAATGAGAAGATTTGCTACCATAGGCCGGATTCATGTGGTGAGGACAATCACAAGCCTCATGATCAAACTGATGACAGATTTGACAAGAATTCTTCTTATTGTAAGAGAAAGTAGTTCGACCTCAACGATTAGAACGCAGATTAGTATTGTTAAAACAATTGAAGTTACTTGACCTTTGATTGTTAAAGAATCGGGAGTTGCCACGATTGAAGCTGCCACAATTGTGATTATGATCCAGTCTATGACCTTGATTAGTGAAGGTAGAAGACTGAGCAACAAAGGCCTGAGAGTTAGGGTTTGATGCAGGAAGTGGAAGTATACTAGCAGAGGTTTGTAGGACCTGAAACTATGATAAATCAGATCCACTTTTCTTGCGATTGGCCAACTAGATCCCTTTGCTGAGGAGCAAACCATGTAGTTCATCAATTGTGGTGGATCCAAGGCGAAATTGAATAGCATCAACAAACGAATCATACTCAGGAGGAAGACCATGAAGAGTGACCGAGATCAAATCGGAGTCTTCAACCGGAGAACCAGCACTAGCAAGTGCATCAGCAATGGCCTCAATTTGCTGAAGATAATGAGCAGCAGTGGATTCACCTTTGGTAAGATTACGAAGGCGAGATCGAAGCTCATGAATGTGGGATTGAGAAGCCGTGGCAAGTCTGGATTCCAATTTCGCCCAAAGTTCATGAGTTGAATTCACACCGACAATATAAGGAATGAGAGATTTAAAGAGCGTAGAGTTGATCCAGATGAGAATATTCTGATTATTCTCATACCAAGAAACATAGGTAGGATTAAGGATGCGATTTCCTGAAGAATCAAGAGTGAACTGAGCCGACGCCGCCATGGATCCATCAATGAGACCAGTGAGATTATACTGGCGAAAAATTGGAGCAAAGAGAGCACTCTAGGTTAAGTAATTGGTGGTGGTGAGCTTGATCGACACCATGGATACAATGTTTTGGATCGTAATGGAGGTAGAAACGGAAGAATTAGGGTTTGAAGGTACAGTCGGAGAAACCGATTCCGACGAAGGAGATGCAGAGGTCGCCATGTACAGATAGCGATGAAGGAGGATCGAAGAACACAAACAACGATCAAGAAATTAGAGACGAAGATCACGCTACGAGCAAGAAATCAAAGAAGATCGCAGAAGGAAGTGCGACGGTTGGGATCGAAGAAAGAGGAGTCGTGAGACAGAAGGGCGGGTGATACCATATTAGGTAAAATATGATTTCATTTCATAAGAAATAATATTACACTTTGGGTATTTATATACAAGTATATTGTAACCACTAGACAAGCAAAAAGTAACAATCTAACAGAAAACTTAACCACTAAGTAATATCTCTAGATAGTGTAGTTACAATATTATCCTTTATACTTACACATCAACATGAGTTGAACCCCTAGAACATATACCCAGCTTTATATGGGAATTGTATGTTAAAATCAGATATTGGAACTTATCTGCCTACCTGTTCTTTAAAATAGGCTACAGCTCTTTGAGAACACATTTCCAAACTCTCACCACTGGGGGGAGGAATATCAAAACTCCGACGCCACTCATGCACTTGCTCTTTTCCATATCTTTCAGCTGTCTCCAGCTTATTAAGACCCTGTAATTCACCATACCTGTAGAATACAACAGCTGGTAATGCTATCTTCTCAAATTTTGTCAAATCTAAGAGGAATCAATGATAAGTTAAAAGAATAAGAAAGCACATTCTTTCGTTTAATTGCCAAGCAGTTATAACTGGAATTGATTGCTTTTTAGTATCCCCACTGTAAATTTGACTCCATGTTTTTGCCTGTATACTCTCGTTGTGCACAACAATTGGCACCTGAAAAGCATAGCATACATGTTTTTGTGAATTTGATCTTCAAGTAATAGTTTATATGTCTTTCTCTAAGAAAAAGCAGTCAAAGTCATAAGGTAAGCATAACGTTAGAATATCTAGAATTCTAGATATTAAATGGTATGGCCAAAAGTCGGCTTGCTTGCCCTCTCTTCTTTGAATCTGTCTTGTAACACTGTTTAACATTATTGCGTGGCAATTAACATTAAAATCACCTGTACAGTCAACCTGCCAGATCATAATCATGGTAACAAGCTTGTGAGTGCGGCAAGATGTTTAAACTGACCTCCATGGTTTAAGTAGCTAATACATGTTTTGTTGTTAAAACCTCAAGGTTAGCATTGTAAAGAGTATAGATTACTGAGCTAAGGAACCAGATCAACAAAAATCATCATTTTCCAGAATATGCATTATACTGGTTTTCTATGATCCACATCATACAGGCAACAGAGGTCTCTAAAAGTCCCTGCGTGGTAGATAAAAGCATGAAACAAGAACATTTGGGTGGATAGTTCCAAGCAACATCAGTCAAAAGTCTAGATCCAAAACGTCAAAAGTCTGGATACCAAATAAAAATGGATATAACTTCATATGAATGTCAACATTTGAAGATCTTGTTGAAAAGGTTCATATGAACTTCTACAACATTTTCTAATCTCAAAATGAACACTTGACTGTGTTCTATACATAAACGTTATAAATCAGTGGATGGCGACAACAAAATACATGTTATCTCTAAAATTAAAATATACGTTATCTCTAAAACTATGTTCAAATCTTGCCATAAATATGATATTCATATACACCAACATATTGGTGCTTAACACCCTCCATGTGTTGATCAATGAACCAATTATGTACTTAACACATTACTCCTTTTCATAGTAAGGATTCAGCATCAAAGGCAAAATTTGTGCAAATAAAAATCTCAAAAATTGAGCAAAGATACCTTCTTGCGGTGGTGTTGAGTCATGGCAAGCATAGCTGTCATCTGTGCACGAATAAGCGAAGATGTGTAAATCATATCTACAGGGATGTTGCTGATTCTCTTACCAGCTTCTATTGCTTCATCAACACCTTTCTTGGTTAAAGGCACATCAACACAACCGGTGAACAAATTCTTCTCATTCCACAAAGATTCACCATGACGAATTAAGATCAAAGAACTTTCACCTGCAACAAGAGTGTAGCCACAAGAATTAGCAGAGAACTCGCTGAGTCACCCAAAAGAATAAACACACTTGATGTCTTTTGAGCATTGTTGGTAATACCGTGGGAGGTGGATAAAATTGGATCAGTTGTCGAAGCTTGAGAAGATGATGAACGAATTACATGCAGTCTACATTGTCTAGAGCTACAATGTTCTTTTCTAAGCAAACCAACATCGACCGCAAACTTCTTAGAAATAAATCTGAAAGATGACTGCCTGCAATTTCTAGCAGAGCCAGTCTCACCAACAGAACCATGGAGCTGAATGACTCCAACAGGATGGCGGAAAGCCGTGGCAACCATTCTGATAATATCCAGAAAAACCCCATCATCAAGAACCAAACCATTTCATCCTCTTTGACAATGCAGAGTTTACAAAAAGTAAGAGAATGGAATCTAATTCCATCATCAAGAAAATAATCATACATCGTCATTCAATTGGGTTTTTTTATATAAATTTACATAAAGTTGAATTCACTGAAAACACATAAAAGAAGTTCGGATTCATGGGAATAAAAGCTGCAGAGTTAGATTTAACTACACAGGACAGTGAGGACACAACCAACCAACTTAAATGAAGAAGATGTCCAGATCGAAATTTCAATCCAAAAATCTCAAACAAGAATAAAAAAGATGCAAACTTACTCACATGAATAGAAAATGGGTCTGTGACCTCTGGGAAATCTGAAAGCTTTGGAGGGATCAATGCCTTGTGAAGAGAGAGAGAGAGAGTGAGAGAGAGAGATGGCAGTTTATACAAATTACGGTGGTGGGGGGCGAAGGGAAACACAGAATCGGAAAGAGGTGGGGGATCTCTTGTTCAGTTTTCCCCACGGCAAAAACTCCACTTTTTACCAACCCCTAGCGTAATGACGTCGTAGCTCCTTTTAATCTAATTCACAAAGAGAAGTGCTTTTTACACGCAATAACCTGACTTTTCTCTGCAAATCATTGTGTACTATAACCGCTAATTTGACTAAATAAGAGATAACTATAGCAAGTTATAAGTGAAACGCAGTAATTTTCTGCACTTATAAATGAGTTGCTATAGGTTTGAAACTAATAAATAACGAGTTAATCGCAAACAATTTATTACCACTACAAACCACATTGCCAGTCAAAAAGGTTTTGTCGGATCAAAGTGGTTTACTTCGCTATGAAATTTAGTCGATGAAAGTTCATTGGGAAAGATTAGTTGAGCAAAACCCGTTGCTTGAAGCCTTTTTCAACGAAAACACAAATTTTTCAGACGAAACAGGGTTTGCCTGACGAATAGAGTTGTCGGTGTGGGAACATGATTTCCAAGAACCCGAGTAAGGCTGATCTGAATAAAGTTACTTCAGAAATCAGGTCATGTATTCAACAACTCTAAGCGAAGCTAGATTAGACGGGGCAGTGGTGATACCATCATCCTGTTCCGGGGTAAATGGCGAAGACAAAGCGACTTCGCTTCATATCCATGCTTGTTCCGCAAGACACGTGCTCTGATCTGGATATAGACTCAATCAAATCGTCTTGGAGTTCCTACAATTTAGGAATTGAGGTGCGCCGTAAGTAATCATAAATCCTAAGAGGGTGCAATATCTATTTCCATATATCATCTAAGATTCTCTCAGCTTAGAATAAGATTCTATCCTAAAAGGCTCTTGTTGGAACCAAATTTGCACACCATTGTGAGTGGTGATTGTGCACAAACTCGAGCAACCCGCAAAACAGTAAACAGCCATCAGCAAGCCCAAGACTGCGGGAAGGGAGTGTCGACTAAAGGCTTTCCAAGAATCAAGTTAGTGAATTATTTTAGACTCAAACAGTGGGCAAGAAAATTGAAGTGTTTAGATTGCATTACCAGAGATGAAGCCTAGATGGATGTATTGATACCTTTATGAGAGAGACCTTTTTAGGATAAATTCCTAGTTCTAAGCAGGGAGAATCCTAAAGATATCTAAAAGTAGATATTGCACCCTCTTAGGAGTCTGATTACTTGTGGCGACGTTAATTCCTAGATTGTAAGAACTCCATCTGATTGGGTCTGTATCAAGATCAGATCGGGTGTCTTGTTGAACAAGCGTGGTTATCCAGCGAAGTCACTAGGACTCCATCTATTATCCCATAATATGGTGATGGTGGCACCACTACTCTGTCTGATCCAGCTCTGTCTGAAGCTAGTGAGTACATGACCAGGCTTCTGAGGTAACTGTATTCGGATCAGCCTTAATCCGATCCTGGTAAATCATGGTGCCATAATTGCCCTTAACAATGCATCTAAGAGGCAACTCGTTCCCTTTGAGGATGAATTGTTATCCAAGGATCATGCATTTCTGAGTAAGCTGAAATACGTACCATTTTAGTCTTCAATCTTTATTTGTGTCTGATCCGATTTTTGGGCCTTGAAATGGTGACGTTTTGGATTTAGACATGCGATCTTGAATATTGTGCCATAAAGTGTATAATGATGAGACTTTACGATGGTGGCGTTACACGAAAAAGAAGAAATTTTCTTCGATATTCTTCATAAATTCCAACCGAAAGATTGTTTAATCCCAAAGCGAGTCGGTCTGGATTCGACAATTAAATGATTCTCCCCAATGAAACCTATATATCCTCGAATCTTTTCCTTCAACTTTATCAAAACCTTCAAATCACCTGCTGTCACAAAAAAGGCTCCAACTCTCTTTTCGTACCAATTTCAAAATTCTCCTTGTTTTCTTAAAGTCTTATGTATGGCGTCTTCAAGCAAGACCAAATCACCTAGGATTACGCCTTACAATCTTCCTCCAATGAAGGTTCGCAATTAGGAGGAAAGCCAAACCTTTGTTGAAAACCATCGGGATCTCTTGGGCCAATGTAGAGTCTGGTGGGAGTTAGGCCACGATATTCATGCTACGCTCCCAGCACCGTCTGATCCCCAGCGTCCCTGCACCAAAATTTATCCTTAGTTCTTAGACTTGGGCCTTCGTTTTCCTCTCCCTGATTTCTTGAAAAGTATCTTGCCTTTTGTTATGACATTGTCATCTGCAATATTTCTCCAGCAACCTTCAAACCCATCACCTGCTTTGAATTGCTAAACCAATTTTGGTATGGGGCTGGCCTGGGCACTTAGGTACCGTTTGGTACGCAGACGAGACGGAACGAGACGGGACGGGACGGAATAGGACGGGATGGAACATGATGGAACGGATGATGTAAATATTGAAAAAGATAAGGAGAAATTTTGTCATAAAATGTTACAAATTTGTGTTCCACGGATATAGAACGGGTCGTTCCAGGGGGAAGAGGTGGAACGAAAAATCAGCCAAATTTCGTCTCATGGAACAACCCGTTCCACAATTTTTAGGCGCACCAAACGTGGGACGGAACGGGACGGGCCGTTCAGTCCCGTCCCGTCCCACGTACCAAACGGTACCTTAAGAATTTAGAATGCTGCTTATTATCATGATGGGTTTCGACAACCACTACTATTTCTTAGCCAGACCTAGTCCCGTTTGGGATTCATACATTCAGGATGTTCCTTGCTAGGATAGGGATTGGTTTAAGGACATACTGGTTGTCGATAAAGATTGGGAGGGCACGATAAACGAAGTTAGGGTTAGAGCTCTCCATTCTCTCAATCTAGAGTTTAACAATGAGTTGGCAGACATCAGGTTGTACCGTCCAGAGCTGATCCACCAGCCAATGTGGATTCCGGTCGCACACCATAATTGGAAATGGCTGTTTTCACCCGAACGCATCATATCGCCAACCGAACCATTCATCTTTCTAGGATCTACTAAAAGATCATGTTTTTTAAAATAAAAAAAAATTAAAAATACGAAATCCGGTGAGGAGAATGCAAAGTAATCATAAATAGCAATCGACCATTAAATATACATCTAGGGTTTATGGATTATGTTGTTACCAGATAGCGACCCGATTAGTTAACATGTTGACCTGAAACTCGTTATTTCATGCAAGATTAACAGGTCGTGCAAGAAATTGTCAAATCTAGCTATATTAATCACATCCCTGCTTGACGAAAGCCCTATCATTTTTATGTTTCATTTTTGTAATTCATTGTTGTTGAGGGTAATTGAGTCTATTTTCTTTGTTATATTTGAAGGTTTATATAATAAGTGACATTTGTGAATAACTTTGGCTTTTTTTTATTTTATGAAAACTGGGTTTAAAGATGAAGCTGGATCCATATTGAAAGCCACAAATTAAGTGACCAAAGTAAATATATTTAGATGAAACGGAACATTAAGATTGAAACATTAGCGTCCACAAACTAAACAAAGTTGAAAAGAAACCAACACCATCATTGAGATCAATGATAGGCATACACGTATAGCAAAGAACAACATAACTTAACTCTAAAGTGAGGCCATACGGACTAACAAGAAGCTAGCTCTTCTTCTATTCCTGCTGATCGTAGTTCTTGTATTGCTCTAGGATTTTTTCACAACCAGCCAATGGCTCGTTCTTGAAGAAGCCCATGTTATTTGCATAACGCTTGTCCTTAACCACACCGTTGTAACGGGTGACTACAACGTTCGCACGGCTGCGTCCGGGGTCTGCCGATTTACAGTCACTTATGGGACTGCTAACAAGGACAGACTCACAAATTTGGTCTTCATGGTCCTCTTCAACCAAAATGTTGTATGTTCCAGTCGAATCAGTCTCTCCCTCGACGCTGTATGCAAGCTGCAAGGTGTTCCTGTCTTTGCACTCAATTCTCACCCTTGCACCTAACAAGCACATCGCAACAAACAATATGTAAATAAATATTTTAGTAAAATAGCGGTTATAATACTGTACACTAAGAAACTATATATATTTTCTGATCCGATTTGATTGACATGCAACGTAGTGAGCTAATTATGTGATCATAAAATATGTATGCCAGGCTACTTATCATTACAGGTAAGTTTTAACATATAAACAAAAATCAAATCCGTTTAGAAGGGCTACCAGGAATGTAATTCGTGGCAGTCGTCTCAAAACCGCATCGGCAAGTGTCACAGTAGACGCGACCTTGAACGTGGAAGGGATTGCCCAACGTGCGTGCGCTAACAAGCCCCAGAAACATGCACAGAGCCAACAACACCACCACCCTAGACATGGCCATGGCCAAGAATATTATTTTTAGCAAGCAATTAGTACTGGCTGAGACAAGTGCCAAGAGAGGAGGGGAAGGCTAAGTGAAATCGAAATGTCGAACGTGAAGAACCAGAGTGGAAACTATGGAATGAGACGTAATGCATTCATATATATATATATATATATATAGCTAGTGAGGCTATTGGACTTCGGAGGAAGGGAGGGAGCACATATACACTACCAGTCACATGCACCGTCATTGAAACAAAGAGGGTCTTGCGGGCCATTTCTTATGCCCTCTCCTCCGCCGTTGGCATTAATTTCAATGTGTAAGATGAGATCCATTTCCTCCTTCCGGTATTATTGTATAATTTGTAGGACATGAGGGATTATAAAACTAGAACCTATGTTAAATATATATTGCATGCGAAAGAACGGAGAAAGTCTTACCCCGGTTCGTTCACACGTCCAATTAAGTAGCTGTCCCATTGCCAGTACAGAGAAACATTACTGTAACACTGTTATGTACTGATACTAATTGGTATAAGCGTATATTATTCATACATATATACATATAGAGCTTGAAATATAAATATGTATTGCTCACTCTTGTTATAATAGATAGATTAGTAAAACAACATGACATTTACGGTTACATAAAAAATTTCACTATGAATTTAAATTTTATTATGTAAAAATAAAAATAAAATGAATGCATAATAACTTTGTAAGATGGTGGAAACAAAGACTTATAGAAGCATTGGTTAAAAGATGTGATTACGGGATAAAGATTCAGGACCAAAGGAATAGAGAAAAGCTTAAGAAGACTTGGAAAGATGCTCTAAGAAAAGACTTGAACTACTTGGATCTAATGGAGCATGAAACAAAACCGAGCATAATGACGCTTTATGATTCATATAACTGACCTCACTTAATAGGATAAAGCTTTATTATTATTGTTGGGTAACTACGGTAGAGGGGAATAGTGAAGAATACCAAAGTTTTAGAAGAAAAAAGGAACCTTAGTGGGGAATCTAAGTTCCTACACCTTTTAAGCTACACATGGTTAAGTTGAAAACAATAAAGCTGTTAGATTATTTGACCTGTCTCTTTAAAATTTTAACAATTGTTTTTCTTTTAATTTCTTTATCCTTCAAAATATCCAATAACTACTGTCCATGGAACTTTCATGTTTCCAAATTCCAAAGAACAGCGAGTGGGATATTTTTCTTCTTCCTCTTTTGAATACTACTTCATATATTGGAATTATTGGGTCTAATTACTATATTAAATTACATGGAAAATCAAGAAATAATTTATGCAATTATATATCAAAGTAATGCATGCACATGAGTGACCAATGCAAAATGAACATGATATAATGGATTAGAAAAACCTAGAAAATACGGTCGAGGCAAGTGTTGGACACTTTGTCCTTAAGACAAGTTTACGGCCCACTACGGTGCTTATGGTTGATCGGCGCATGTCTCCAAAGATACAACGACCACGTCCTTATAATAGTAGCACTCCAAATCACAAGGCTCCATGAACCACGATTGTGTTGAAAACTCTCTCATATGGACTCTAATAGACTTTCTAAAATTTAATGCACTATATGTATGTATGATGAAAAGTTCTACAATGATTATAGGGGGCATCCCTATTTATAGATTGTGAGATACCTTTTTGGAAAGCATGTGATTATTCATGAAGAGTCAAAAGTTGCAACACTTCATTTAAGTAAGGGTGGGCACTTGGAACCGAAAACCGAAACCGAAACACAAATTGAAGCAAACTGCACCAAACAGTTTGGTTTTGTGGTTTTGAAACGGTTGCGGTTTCAAAATTGAACCGCGGCACACAAAACGGTTTGGTTTCGGTTTCGGGTTTTCAAAACCGCACCGAAACCGAAACCGCACCATATAATAAATAAATGTTATATTTTAAACTTTTAAAATTTTAATTAGTTCAACTAGGTTATAGATTTGGTTTTGCGATTTTGGGTTTGCACTTCGACTCCTGAGTCTGACTACTTTTGCGCCTTGCATCTTTGCCTCTGCCTTTGCGACCTAGTCACCTGGCTGCTTCTGCTTGCATCTCTGCATCTGCCTCTGCGAGCGACTGCCTGCTTGCATCTCTACCTCTACGACTGTGACCTCACTAAGTGAGTCACTGCTTGCCTTGCGACCTCACTGAGTCACTGCTTGCTTTCATCTCTACCTTGCCTTGCGACCTCACTGAGTCACTGCTTACCAGCTAATATGGTAAGATCATTTCTTAGTTATTTGTTAGTTATTTGTCTCAAAAACAAGTTTGGGTCTTGAAAGATAATTTCTGAATTTATTGCTTCCATTTTCGAAATAAAATCTTCAATTTAGAGTGTTGGTTAGACGTTATAATTTGGATCAGATTTAGGCGTTTTTTTTTTCGTTCTTTAATACAGTGATACCTCGAGTTTCTGTTTCAATTTCCATTAAGATTATAATGATATGGTTTGCTGGGGAATGGTAATTCTTTCTTAACTCAAAGAAATTTAATGAGAAACCATGAAGTCCTTTTATGTGGTTTGTCATGGATGTGTTCTTTGTCTTCTGTGAACATCTTACTGTTTTTTGTTATGTTTTTATTTGCTCAAGCTTGCTTGATTTGGCTGCTTATAGAACATCTGAGGGAGCACTTAGTTTTTTATCGAGCAGAGGAGTGGTTTTCTTCACAGTCTCATTAACTAGGTTTACCTATGTCGTTGACTTTGTGTTTGCTGAATTATAGTTAAATGTGGTGTTTGACTAAGAACGAAAAACAAATTTTGGAATTGAAATGGTGTTGTACCTTTTGCTTGAAGACAGCCTGATGCCTTAGCAGAAGAGTATGGTGTTAATTAAAAGTTTTAAACTTGGATTGAAGTTGGTCAGATTTGATTAATGAAACATGCAGTTCTTTATGCAGTTTGGTTGTATTTTTTTGGCAGTTTTGCCGCTGTTTTTTGCTGCATTATTGTTGCTGTTTTTGGTGCAATTTTGCCGCATATTCATTAATTAATATACAAGGAAAATAAGACCGTCTTATGCATAAATATGTGCATATTTTAAATTGTACATTTTTTCTCAAAAACCAAACCAAAACCGTTTGAAACCACACCGAACCGAACCAAATGGTTTGGTTTCATTTCAGTTTTGGCTTTAAAACCGCACTGCACCGCAAAAAGTTTTGATTTCGGTTGCGGTTTCCTCGAAACTGCACCGAACCGCACCATGCCCACCCTTACATTTAAGTAGACATATCTTTCTACCAAAAGGCTTCACTTCTAATTTCCATTCAATTAATAAATTTAATATAATAATAATATTATTAAATTTTCCAACAATCCCCCACATGAATGGAAATTGACTCAATACCATGCAAATGACAATGTAGGCACTAGAGAGAGAATTCAGTAGGAAAACTACCATATCGGGATAGGTGGCTTTTGTTTTTGAACCTTCCGTAGTGAATTATTATCGGATTTACTTGGCTAATCAGTGAACGCGATGTCTTGAACTACTCAACTGTTAGTGTAAACCAAGACAATAGTAATCACACAATACCGTTCCAGACACTTCGTGGTTGCTCAGTTGTGTTCATTTTGACCTTGAACAATTCTTGGTTTCTCATGAGTGCTCTTAGAGAACTAAGCCCTTCAAAAGATTCTCACAGGAACGGCCTCATTCTTCACTCAAGATAGGTGACTTCCTAGTAAGTGTATCCTGCATTAATACCCCACTTGTTATTTCCAAGTATAGGAATCATTTAACTACTTCCATTTATGAAATTATATTTCATTCAAGAGTAGTTGTTTTCCAACGCTAAGTCCTTCAAAACATATGTTAGGACTTAAAAAGTAATTTGCTAACACTCGGGTACATTCCCCCACATTTAAGGTATTTGCTAGAAGATCTCTAACATTTCAATACCTTAAAGTTACCATTATAAGAAATGACATTTAGATTGTCTCATTCAATTAGCAAATTATATTTCCATTGTTCTTAAGTAAATATATATATAAAAGAAAGGGATCTCCATTTTCTTATAAAAATAGGAATTAGTTGTGGGGTCCATTAAATCGAACTTTAACGATTCGAACTATCTTATTTTTAATAGCACTTCACATATCGTTTTTACAAAATATTATCTGAATCAGAAATATTTGAGGCATCTAATTGAGTTCAAAGAAATTGATGAATACTTTGTTCAAAGAAAATGTTGAAATTTCATCGTCATAATTAAATAGGTAAATGATTTCGGATTGAATTAAATTTTTGTAAGGGTGATCTTTGAATCGAGGCTTACAAAATAGTTTAGATCATTAAAATTCAATATGAAATAGGCCCGACAACTCATCTCCATTTAATACACACACACACACATATACATACATCTTTTTATAAAAAAATAGGAATTAGTTGTGGGACCTATACCACATCGAACTTCAACAATCCGAACTATCTATTTTCCAAGTTGCACTTCATAGATCATTGCTTGCAAAATATTAGCCAAATCGGAAATATTTGCAACTTCTAATTTAGTTCAAAGAACTTTGTTCTATAAGAAACAATGAAATTCCGTTGTAATACTTACATATGGAAATGGTTTCAAATTGAATTGAATTTTTGAAAGGATGATCTATGAATCGAGACTTACAAAATAGAAGGTTCGGATTGTTGAAGTTCGATGTAGAGTGAGTCCCAAACTAATCCCTATTTCTTTCAAAAACATAAGAATCCATTCCCTTAAAGGGCCTATGTGTGTGTCATATCATGTATGTGCATATGATCGAGCTAAAGGAATAGATGAAGAAGCATTAATATTAATAGGTTTTTTAGCCAAAATGGTCATTGAAATTTACACAACTCCTCACTTTGATCATTGAGATTTGAAATCAATACAAGTGGTCCATGAGATTATTCATTATCAATCATTTTAGTTCTTCTATGAATAGTTATGTTTGGTCATTCCGTGAATAGTTATCTTAAATAAAAATGAAAATGACAAAATTACCCTCAGTTTAATAAACTATAGGCCAAAATGATTTGACAAAAATTAAGGGTATTTTTGTTATTTTATGGTTTAGGATCATTTGTGATAAAAAAAACCATATTAATATATAGAAAAATACTTTTTTTTTATTA